AGAGCGGTAATCAGGCTATTACAAAAGTGTAGGCTAGGAAGAGTTAAACACCAATTTAATGTAGTGGCTAGACAGCAGAGAGATACTCATGGGAATTTAGACTGCCACTAATGAGATCCTTACATCAGAGAAAACAATTAGTAAAATCAATAACTTAAAACAATGTATCAACAGATCACTATAGGAAAGCTGGGTTAAGAGAGAAATTTTGACAATGTATTGACATCAAGGGGGCGAAAGATACTGTATTTGGAAGATAAAAAGCAATCTGGTCACATCCTGCCTGAATGAAATAGCTCTCTCAAACAATCACCTCCCACTGTTGTAATCAAATTCAATGCCAATCCAAGCACTGTTCAGATTCAGTTTAAGTGCCTTGATATAGCAGGAGGGAGTTCCCTGGATAGGGGTCATAAGCATTCACATCACTCTACTGAGCTAATGCCCTTTAAAGATGAATGAACTGACGTTCTCGTTTATACGTTCATCTTCTGTGAATTTACATAGTGTCAATCAACTAAGAATCTGATCATCTCTAAGAGAACTAACAGGAAGGTGAGTGTTTGGACCTGAAAACTAAGTCCTAGACCCTTGACTATATTAGGCTGCTTTAGGTTAACCATATGGCTTTCTCCTGGCAACAACAACCTCTTGTCCTTGGTTAATTTTACTTTCTTCTAAAACTTTAATAGTGTTGAAGTTTGGAAGGAACTGATACAAATATGGTCAGGAGAAAGAACTCATAGGACTTGGCGAGTGCTTGAACATGAGAGTTGAGGATAAATCCCAGGTTTCAGGCCTGGGTGACTGAGACAAAGGAGGTACCAGTACCCAAGATTGAGAATATAAGAGAAGATGAGAATGGATGGTATGGAAAATATATTACTTTTACAATACCATGGACATGCAGGTGGGAATGTTCAGTAGATAGAAGTGCGTCTGGAGTTTATGAGAAAAGTTTGGGCTGTAGTTACAGATTCAGCAGCCATCACCATACAAGAGGTAATGAATAAAAATACCCATGAAGGATGTATAAAATGAACAGAAAGCTAGGTAATCAAATACCAATGATTAATATTTATGAGGAAAGCAAGAGAAAAGATATAAAGGGAAGAAGGACTAGGCCAGAGTAGGCTAAACCAAAACAAAGTGTATCATATAAGCCAAGAGAAAACTAATCAACTGGGACAAGTACAAAAAAGTGTCCCCTGGAATTGGCAATTAGGTCACTGGCAATCTTGGCAACTGCAGTTTCAAATGAACCATAACAAAGGTAAAAGTTACAGTGACCAAATAAAAATACCTCACCTTGAAACTACAAATCTAGAAAATATGACAAAACAAGTAATTTTCTGTCCCACGCAATCCGTTCACACTTCTCATTTGACTTGCTATTTCATGGTGGCTCCTCCACTTTATCTGTGACTGGGTCATGATGCAATAATGTCAACAATGTTGATTAAACTGAGTAATTACCAGCACAATTCACTGGCTTAAACAATGATCTTGATTTATTCCCTGAACTTAAATAACCCTCCTGTGGTTTTGTTATTATGCAAGGGAAGAGCTACAACTTCTCCCCTTCTCCTGCACCGGTGCTGCTCCAAGTCTCAGCTGAATTGCTATTTCTCACCTCTTCTCACACGTACCTACTTCTGATTCTCTGATATGAGGTAATCATAAAACCAGGAATTTCTTAAGATGCAAAACAACTTGTTTATAGCAATTCTCTGCTAAGATCATAAAACCAAAAAAGTAAAACAAAAACAAAAACAACCTCAGCATGGTACCAAGCTGGAAAATGAGATATCATAAGTTACCTCACCTATGATAAAAGCTATCTGCAACCCCTTTTGCATGTTATTAATGTTTTTATGTCATGCTTCTAATTTCTTATTCAAGCCAACAGAATAGCTTAAATATGTACCTTTGTGCCTATAATCATAACTTCTTGGGGATTAAAAAAATTACTACATCCAAAAAAAATACAGCTTTTCATAAAAAAAGAAATATAAAAGTATCCATACTGCTAACAATGATGTCTCTAGTGACTCAGCTGAACCAAAACCGTCTGTTTTCTATTGAAATTAGTTTCAGGTTTCAGCTGTGCTATGAAGGAAAATATGAAATTAGAGAAAGGCATCTTTTAAGAAAAACACACAGCAGTCTTCATTTAAATCTGTGACCCCCACTGAGATCTTGCTTCAGTGAGTCACACAATGAAAACAGTATGAGAGACTTCCTCACTTGACAAGCCATACTACTCATATGCTACTTTGGTAGTCTATTAAGTGTGGAGGGAATAGGATGAGGAACAAATAATCTCCTTGTTTCTCTCAAGTGGAATAGACAATCTGGTTTTCTTCTGTCATTCTTTGCTGATGATAGATATCCAGGCAAACTGGTCATCATCATTCTTTTTCTGAGCTAATAAGCCCTTGTAGGCTTGAGGCAACAAAACAGACTACTGATGTAAAATCAAACACAAGATAGGATTAGTATAATAGTAAAGAGCACTTTGAAAGTTTGTTTTTTATAAAGCTAATATTTATTTCAGAAGATTTAGAAAAGATATATATATAAAATATTCATAATCCCATTCCCCCAACCAAGAATTCTTTACCTGGCAAAGTTGTCATTCAAAAATAAAGGGAAAATATTCATAATCCCATTCCCAAGGTATTGTCACTATTAAAAATCTACATGTTTTTAAGAGAAAAAATACTATTCACAAGTAATAAAAAAATTAAAAGTCAATTTAGCTTAAAGCTTGAAGGGAAATAAAGGCCACAAAGCTATAGGCTTTAAAAGTCTTAGTAACTGCAAGGTGTGGAATCACCTTGCAGAAATCAATTTGGCTTTTGTTCTTGGTACATTGCAGCCATACCAACACCTGAGGCTAATGAATGGGGGTTGACCAGACCAAGAGGGACCACCTGGGGTCCAATGCTGACTAAGCCTCACCAGGCATGATGTAATCTCTCATGACCACATGATGAGGCTGATAAGAGCCCTGAGCCCTAAGGCTCAGATGAGCTTCCTAATCGGTTACCATGCACAGGAGAGGGTAGCGTTTACCTCTTTGCATGGAAGTTCTGCGCTATGAACCCTCCCAGATCTCTCCCTATATGTCTTTTCATCTGTACCCTTCTTTGCTGTAATAAACTTGCAGCCATGAATATGGTGTACTCTTTGTGAATCCTGTGTCATTCCAGTGAATTAATGAACCCACAGGAACAGTGAGAGCTAGCAGGGGCTGACATCTGCCTATTTGGCAGTCTACAAGGTGTCCTTCCAACATGTGAGCTCTGATCCAGCTCTCGGTGGCTCCGGCTGAAAGAAAGAGGGTTGTGGAGCAGCTGATAATGAGGATAGAGGAGTGGGAAGTTGAGAACTGGATCCATTTCCACACTTTGAGACTTGGAATCATGCTGATCCTTTCCAGACAGTTAGCAATGAAGGTGGGATTAGCCCACCGTGCCCCTTGTTTAGGGCACCAACTAAAATGGCCACGCACTGTTCTGGCTCAGTACTTCCCATCATTAGTACCTACTGCCAGATCCACCATCCTGAACACAAGGAAGATAAAATTTCCCCTTCTTTTTATTTAGAAAATCTTCAAACTTACAGAAAAGTTGAAAATGAATACCCAAGTCACCTAGATTCATCAACTGTTAACGTTTTGCTACATTTGCTTTCTTTTTCTGTATACACACATAATTTTCTGCTGTGGTTGGATTGCCTGAAAGTAAAATGCAGATATCATGACACTTCACTGTTAAATACTTCAGCATGCATTTCCCGAGAGAAAGGACATTGCAGGATGAACTCTGTAGCTGGTCTAAAGTGAATCCCAGAGATATCCAGGAAACTGACCTCTATTCTGGCACCAAAGCACTGAGTTCAGGAATATGCTCTGACTAGACTGAAATAGCCTGGAAAGGCTGAGGCTGGTGGATGAATAATTTATTCATGTACAATTGTGTAACACTCTGTGACTATATTGTGGTTTAATGTCAGGGTTAATGAGGTACACCTGGACAGGTGACGTGGTCTCTAGCATACAGCTACCAAGACTGGAGCTAGAGGGACCCAGAAGGTACAGTAATGTTTTCAGACATTAGACATTATCCACTGGAGAAGTTTTACTTATCTTGGAAATATGGCCAATCTGTCTGTCATTATCCTGTGTGCACTGACTTTTTTTTTTTTCTCTTTGCATTCTTTAGATAAGTGTTATGGATTGAATTGTGGCCCCCTAAATATGTGTTATAAATCCTAACCCCTATACCTGTGGTTATAAGCCCATCTGGGAATGGGTTTTCTCTGTTACATTAAGGACGAGGCAGTACTAGTGGAGGGTGTGTTTTCAGTCAATCTCTTTTTGAGATATAAAAGCAGATTAAGTAAGCAAGCAAACAAGCACAAAATGGGGGGCGGGGGGAGTAGATGCCAGGCCACACAAAGATCAAGGAACTGCGGAACAAAAGCTGAGAAAAGACAAGGACATTCCTCCAGAATTGAGAGAGAGAAAGCCCTCCCCTAGAGCTGGCACCCTGAATTAGAACTTCTAGCCTCCTAAACTATGAGAGAATAAATTTCTTTTTGTTAAAGCCACCCACCTGTGGTATTTCTGTTACAGCAGCACTAGATGACCGAGACAGTGAGTAAACTGACTGACCCAAATGACATCTGCTCCTGGTCTTTCCATCAATCTATACCTATCACTATCCTTTGTCATTATAACATTTGTGTAGTGGTTCTCTACTCCAGTAAGTAACCCATGGTCACGTGCAGTACTTTTCAAAAAGTTTGGTTTTGGAACCTTTGCGATCTCATGAAGATCTCTGGAGGTATGAATGCAGTGTGCTACATTTCAGTATGTTCATAGTTGGTACCCTCATCTGCCACGCTGGAGAGCTGCCCTAATACAACGAAATATCAAGTGCCTACCTTTGAAAGCACATACCCACTTGTATGAAGAACATTACACCCCGTACCTCTGGTAAGATGAACTGTTCCACAGGTTTGTACCACAGCTTGTTCACCTGCACACCACAGCTGGGAGGACTAAAGCGGGCACTGAAGAGGGCCTCCTATATATCGGGAAAAAAGAAAAAAAAAACTTCATGTTATATAGTGCACATGCTACAAGCTTTCAAACACCTTACATTTTGGTCAGCTAAATCGTCAATGGCCCCAACCAAGGCTACTAACATTGCTCTACTGCAGCTTGGGCATTACTTGGGTTTTCTAGTACAGTCGTGGTCATTAAATAAAGATATTTAAAACAGCCAAAGCTGTCATCACGTTCCCAATAATTAGCTACAATTCACATAACCTTAAAAAAATTTTTTTGAAATGAAAAGCATTAAGGAAGGTGAGAGATGTTAAATTAAGCCAACAAATTATTAGGGTATCAGAACCCCCCAATGGTTAAGAAGTATCCGAAAGATCACAGATTCCCATACACAATAAAAGTGCTCAGGAATCCTCATTCAAAAAGAAAACCTTCAGAAAAGAAATACAACTGAAAAGAGAATATAAAGGAGGGCTGATTCTCATTCTGCCTGAATTGTTTTCTTTGGGCCCTCTCTGATTTGTTTTGGGGAAGATCATCTCCAAATTCTCATGCTTATTCTTACATACCAACTTACCAAGGGGGAAACTTCTGCTAAAGCTATCAAGACCACACAGAAGTTCAGAATTAAGGGAGTGCTAATGGATTATGTCTTTTATCAACATCAGTCCTTGCCAATACAGTGGAAATCCTTTTTACACTGTGACTACCTGTGAACTCATCAGCATTCACCTTAGACTAGGCCTTCCTTGAGGACAAAGATTAGTAGCCCTTCCCTAGGCTAAAAATATAGCAACTAAAAGTTAAATCAGAATATTACACATCTGAACCAAACTACTTGACTGATAATTCAAACATTATGAATCAAACCCGATAAACCAAACTCGTTGCCATCGAGTCGATTCCGACTCACAGTGACCCTATAGCACAGAGCAGAACTGCCTAAATAGGGTTTCCAAGGAGCAGCTGGTGGATTCGAACTGCCGACCTTTTGGTTAGCAGCCAAGCTCTTAATGGAGCCCTGGTGGTGCAGTGGTTAAGACCTCGGCTGCTAACCAAAAGGTCAGCAGTTCAAATCCACCAGCCGCTCCTTGGAAACTCTATGGGGCAATTCTACCGTGTCCTATAGGGTCGCTATGAGTCAAAATTGACTCAACGGCAATGGGTTTTTTTAAACCTTATGAATAGTTAAAAAAAGAGACTATATACTAAGGCAGTTAAACAATTGTGTGTCAAAAACTTCAATATCAATCCTAATTTCTAGAAAAGGATAACAGTGGAATTCAGGGTGTATTATTTCAGTTACCTAATTGAGTTTTTGTATCAATGAAACCTTTAACCACAATAATATATGGACTCCTATAATTGACCAACTTGAAAAATGTCGCGGCAATCATAATGGCTGGACTCAAAAACAATACTCAAAATATCATAACATGGCTTTCCATGATTGAATATCAGTAGGATTTACTCCTTCTCTCTTATATTTATGCCAATAAGCACATTAACAAACTACGCAGTATTCTTTAGAAGAAGCTGGAATAGAATAAGCTGCAAAAAAGAAATCTAATCAAATTGATTTGTATATTTACTGAGGACTTGCTAATATTCTATCTGTTGCTATATGACAACAATTAGCACTAACAATAATATAAAGACATTTTTAAAGATGTCTTAAAAAAGTGAACAGATCCTCCTGTAGATAACTATTATGAACTCTGGACAAAACGTAAAAAACTATCTGAGGCACTGGAATATAAACAAAGTAGACAGAAACTGGAGGAAAATCAACACTTATAAGAAGAGAAAGCACTGGGGACATTTATGTATTTATTTTGTCTGAGGGGTAACTAAAACTTGGATAAAAACCTGCAGTCTTTCTGACTGAAAAATCAGAGGAAAGAACTGGGGCAAACACAGCGGCTAAAAAGTGAGCAGTAAAACCTCCAGGAAGGAAAGGATCACAGAGGGAGGGTCCTAAACTCTTCATACAAACTCTGTCCAAGTCTATGAAATGCCCATTCAAGGTAGAATCTAAGCAGCCCATCTAAGGCCAAAAGAATGGACTAAAGATTTCAGAGGCTGCCTATTGCAAGAGAAACAGAGTTTAGTGTCTGTATCTAGCTAATTTAACTGTCTCCCAGAACAAAAACAATCAATATTCTTTACAGGAATATAATAAAACCCAGAGTACCCACAATGAATTATTCTCAATATCTAGGATACAACCCAAAGCTACCAGACATAAGATAAAAAAGAAAAATGTTAACCATACTCAAAAGGTGATAATCAATAAAGACAGACTCCAAGATGACTGAGATGTTGGACTAAGCAGACAAGAGTTTTAAAGCTGTTATCATAACTATGGTCAAGGCTGTAGAGAAAAATATGCTCATAATGAATGATCACTAGGAAATGTTAGAGAAATAGAAACTATGAAAAAAAGAACTAAATGAAAATTCTAGAACTAAAGAATATCTAAAATAAAAAATTCACTAGATATGCTTAACAGTATAGACAGATGAGTCAATGAACTTGAATACAGATTAGTTAAAATTACCTAAATCAGAAAAAGAGAGAGAAAACACATTGAAAAAAAAAAATGAACACAGCTTGAGTGATCTGGGACTATACTAAAAGGTCTAACATACAGGTAACTGGAATCCCAGGAGTGGAGAGGAGGGGGTAGAAAATTTATTTGAAGACGTGATAACTGAAAGTTTCCAAATTTGGCAAAAGACATACATTTACAGATTCAAGAAACTTGGCAAACCATGAGCAGAATAAACAAAGAAAAACCACACCAAGGTACAATACAACAACACAACCAAATTGTGTAAAACCAAACTTAAAAAGAAAATCTTAAGAGCAGTCAGAAAATAAACCCAAAACAAAACACATTATATACACCATACATGTGAACAACAACATGATATGAAGGATGACTAACATCTCTTCAGAAGCAATGAAGCCAGAAGACACTAAAATAACATCTTTAAAATACTGAACAGAAAAAAAGTCAACCCAGAACTCTATATCCAGAAAGTATTCCACAAAAATAAAGGAAAAAATAAAGGCAAAACAAAAACATTCCCAGCAAAATGAAAATCGAGCAAATTCATCACCAGTAAACTTGCACTATAAGAAATGCTAATGGATGTTCTTTGAGCTGAAAGAAAACGACATCAGATGGAAACTTGGATCTTCGGAAAGTAATGAAGAACACCAGAAATGGTAACTATACAGGCAAATATAAGAGTTTATTTTTTTCCTCTAAACTTCTTTCACGTACATTTGGCTGTTTAACGTAAAAATTATAACAATATATTGTGGGATTTATAGTGTATGTAGATGTAATGCACATGACAACTGGAGAAAAAAGCAGGAAGATGATAAATGGAACTATATAGTTAAAAAGTTTTTATAGTTCACATAAAAGTGTACAATATTAAGAAGACTGAAAAGTTCAGGATACATACTGTAATCCTCACATCAACCACACACGCACAAAATAATAGTACAGAGACCTATAGATAAAAAGACTATAGGAAAATTAAAATGGAATTCAATTAACCCAAAAGAAGGTAGGAAAAGAGGAACAGAGGAACAAAAAAGGCAGGAACAAGCAGAAAACGAATAGTAAACTGAAAAGTTGAAATCCAACCACACTGATAACTGCATTAAATGTAAATGAAATAAATATTATGTAAAAAGTAGAAATTCTGAGAATGGATAAAAAGAAGACTCAATTATATGCTGTCTATAAGAAATACAATTTTTAGCTAAATATAAAAAGGATAATGCATCATGATCAAGAGGGGTTTATCCCAGAATTAGGAAATTGGTGAACATTACAAAATCAATCATTGAATTCACCACACTAACAGAATAAAGGATAAAAACCCTGGAAATATTCCATGTACCCATCTACAGGAGAATGGATAAACCATCATATATTGCTGGAATGTTACTTAGCAACTAAAGAAACAAAAAGAAAAAATTCACCAACACATACAACAGCATAAATGAGTCTCAAAAACATTATGTTGAATGAAAGAAGCCTTACACAAACAGAGTACTTACTATATGACTCCATTTATGTATGAAGTCTCAGAACAAGCAAAACTAGCCTATGGTTAAAAAAAAAAAAAAATTCAGAACAGTGGTTGCCTCTGTGGGATGGGGCAGTAATTTCCCCGGAAGGAACACGAGGGAACTTTCTAGGGTGATATGTTTTGTATCTTAATAGAGTATGGCTTAAACAGGTTTATGCATTTTAAAAACTGACTGAATGTACATTTCACTGTATTTCAAAAAAAACCTATAAACAAATACTAAAGTGTACTTAATGATATGCATGCTGAAGTGTTTCAGGTTGAAGCGTACTGATACCTGCAACTTACTTTGAAATACATTAAAAAAATAAGATAAATTAATGAATTTATGTCTGTGGGTATGTACAAGATAAAGCAGATTCTGCAAAATGTTAACTACTATAGAATCTAGTTGGGGGACATATTGGTATTCACTGTACAATTCTTTCAAGTTTTCTGTATGTTTAAAACCCAGAAATAGACCTTTCCAATACAATATCTTCAGATGTACCCTGTGAACAAACAGAATTTCTCCAAATATCAGAAACAGAGTAACCTCAGTAGTTTTAAACTTTCATTCCCTCTATACCCTTATTTGGAGCCTTGGTGGTGTAGTGGTTAAGAGCTTGGCTGCCAAAAAGGTTGGCAGTTCGAATCCACCAGCTGCTCCTTGGAAACTATATGGGGCAGTTCTACTCTGTCCTGTCGGGTCACTATGAGCGGGAATTGACACAACAGCAATGGGTTTTTTTTCCACACCCTTGTTTACTAAAAAAAAATCAAGAAAGGTGTGCGTCAGGGTTGCCTTCTTTCAATATACTTATTCAATTCTGTATGCTGAGCAAATAATCTGAGAAGGTGGAGTATATGAAGAAGAACGTGGCATCAGGATTGGTGGAAGACTCATTAACACAACCTGCAACATGCAGATGAAACAACTATGCCCGCTGAAAGCGAAGAGGATTTGAAGCACTTACTGATGAAGATCAAAGACTACAGCCTTCATTATGGATTACACCTCAACCTAAAGAAAACAAAAATCCTCACAACTGGACCAGTAAGCAACATCATGAAAAATGAACAAAATACTGAAGTTATCAAGGATTTCATTTTACTTGGATCCACAATCAACAGTCACGGAAGCAGCAGTCAGGAAATGAAACGACATACTGTGTTAGGCAAATCTGTGGCAAAAGACCTCTTTAAAGTGTTAAAAAGCAAAGCTGTTACTTTGAGGACTAAGATGCGCCTGACCCAAGCCATGATATTTTCAATCGCCTCATATGCATGTGAAAGCTGCACAATGAATAAGGAAGACCAAAGAATGAATGAATGAAGAATGAGGAAGAATCGATGCGTTTGAATTATGGTGTTGGCAAAGAATAATGAATATACCATGAACTGCCAGAAGAAGGAACAAGTCTGTCTGGGAAGAAGTACAGCCAGAGTGCTCCTTGGAAGTGAGGATAGTGAGACTTGTCTCCTGTACTTTGGACATGTTATCAGGAGGGACCAGTCCCTGGAGAAGGACATCATGCTCAGTAAAGTAGAGGGTCAGCAAAAAAGAGGAAGACCCTCAATGAGATGGACCAATGAGATGGACTGATACAGTGGCTGCAACAACGGGCTTAAACATAACAATTGTGAGGATCATGCAAGACCAGGCAGTATTTGCTTTTGTTGTACACAGGGTAGCTATGAGTCAGAACCAACTCGACGGCACCTAACAACAACAACTTCACAGCAATTATTAGTCTTGTATGTTGTTAGGTGCCGTCGAGTTGGTTCTGACTCATAGCGACCCTACAGGACAGAGGAGAACTGCCCCATAAGGTTTCTAAAGCGCGGCTGGTGGATCTGAACTGCCAATCTTTTGGTTAGCAGCCAAGCTCTTAACCACTAGGCCACTAGGGCTCCTTGTATAGTGACAGACTTTCAGGGTAGGAAGAAACAAAAATATTCATTAAGTCCTAAGAGCCCCAAACTTTTTATATGCATTACTAATTTTTGAAATTCCTTATGCTTTAGGGGATTTTAGATTTGCAATTTCTAATCAAGTCCAACTCTTTTCTAGACAGAACACATTTATGCATAGGTATTCTCTCCCCATACCAGCAATGTAATACATTACACTATCATGTACACAATCAGTAAGGGAAGAAAGGTGGAAATCTCCCAATCAGACAGAATTATACCATCTCCCAGCCTACTATGAGGGGAAAAACCTGATGTTTTTGAAAAACAAGGGAAACACTGTACAGTACATACCTCCTGCTCTGCCTGATAGAGCCTGACAGTGATGTTCCTTCGGAAACCCACATCGCTGGCATCATAGAACACTCCGAGGCTGGTAATAACGATCGGGTAGAGAACTCGGAAGCTCACACTGACCACTTGGTCCTCAGAGAGGCCTGATGAAGTATCTTCAGAAAGACTGAATGCCTCAATTTCCTGATTCAAAACTACAGAAGTAATGATAAAGAGGGTTTTACATAACTAAATAATCTTTTATTTTACTAATACCAAGTTATGAATTGGGCTTGGTAACAAAATTTAGATAACTACTTGTTATACAATTCTTTCACAAATGGCTGGAATAAAAATAAAAAGCTTCAAAAATATGGCTGCTTCTAGAAATAAACTTATTTTGAAATTTAATAAGGAAGTTTTCAGCCATATCTAAGCAAATTATTTAATTACCAGGCTGCTTTAATAGATTTTTTAAAAAAGCATGCATACATATGTGTGCATATATATGTATAAACACCACAGGGGAATATTAAAGTCAATTGGAAGGCATCTATTTGGAAAGGCTGGATAAATAGGGATATTAAAAACATTACTGACTGCAGTCATAAATCATCAGTAAATTCGGCCTTGCTCTGCAAATTCGGCAATTAAAAATATTTGTCATATGTTGGAGCAATTATCAGAGCCCTGGCGGCATAGTGGTTAAGAGCTTGGCTGCTAACCAAAAAGGTCAGCAGTTCGAATCCACCAGCCGCTCCTTGGAAACCCTATGGGGCACTTCTACTCTGTCCTATAAGGTCGCTGTGAGTCCGAATTGACCCAACGGCAAGGGGTTTAGAGCAAATATCACAGCATAACAGTAACCAAAGTCACTTCAAATAACACAAAAACTCTTGCTGTACAAAATTGATAAAAGATAAGCACATCAAACACAGTAAACATTTCTGACCACCTACACATAGAACAGCCTCAGAAGAAAACCGTGATGATATACTTCTGAAAAATTAGCCACTGAAAACCCTATGGAGCACAGTTCTACCCTTAGACTGTGTTCTGTAAGAGCTGGGGTGGACTTGCCACAACTAGTTTGGTTTTTCAGTCACCATGTGCCATGTCCCATCACATTCAAATTGTCACAGCTACCCTGTATGGTCATGGTAATATCCAGTTTATAGATTAAGAAACTGAAGCCCAACTAATTTAAGTAACTTACCCAAAATCAGATAGAAAGTGGTAGAGCCAGGAATCAAACCCAGGTTTACTGACCCCAAATTTAGTGCTCTTTTCACTTCCCCACAGCTACCTGATCAGTGGCCAAAACAGTCCTTTTCAAAGAATATTTTCAATTACCATAAATAAATCAGGATAGATTAGATGGAAGCATTTAATATGGCAAAGAATATGAGTACCACTTAGAGAAATAATATAAAAACCCAAAAGATTATAATATCAAAGTTCTTCGTATCTTTTCGAGCAGTGGTCTCCAAACTTCGCTGATCACACAACCCCATAAGTTAAAAATGTTTGTACGCACACCCATATATACATATATATTACATACATAATCTACATATCCAGTATTAATAAAGATTACATATTCTTATTTTCAGATAAATAGAAATTCTACTTTCTTCCTACACCCCCAGTGGATCATTTGAATCCACACTTAGTGTTCCTAGATGACTATTTTATTTTATACTTAATAGATGCTCAATAAAATGTTATTAAACAGAATAGACAGCTCCTACCTAATTATAAACATGAGAAGGGGGAAAAAAACGAAGGACACGGATTTTGTCATGGGCTGGGCAAGCATGGGTCAAAGAGTCTAGACTCCCAACATACTCGATGACAACAAAAACTTTTTTATTTAACATACTCAGTAAATAAAAAATATCCAAAGTAGGAACACGCCTATTAAAGGCAACAGACAAAGCACATTGTAACACAACTAGATATTTTCTATCTACAAAAATGTTCATGAACTTCAAGCTACCTGTGCACCAGAAATCCTGATAATGCTATTAATCAAAACTTCTACACATCCACAGAATCATGATGATTAATGTTCGTAAAGACGTTAAGGTACTAAAGTAACCCAAAATGCTGTTTTAATCATTAAGAAGATAAAATTATGTTCAATATTATATATTTATTTTAAAATCTGTAACCTAGGTATTACATATATGAAGATCTTCTATTAACGTAAAGCGCCACTCCTTTACCATTAATGAATACTCACACTTAAAAAATAAAATGTTTTTTTAATTGTTGTAAAAATACAAGTAACACAACATATGCCAATTCAACATTTTTCAGGTGTACAATTTAGCTATGTCAATTACATCAATCATGCTGTGCAACCATCACCCATAATTATTGCTAAATTGCCAATCACCATAAACAGAAACTCACTGTGAAAGCCTGGTTAATTTAAAGGTGTATTTTTTCATTTTGTTTTTTAATGTAATTTGCTCTAGGCAGCTCTTACATCATCATCATCAGTAATACAACATTTTATGAGGTTCCCAATCCCTCTGGGACTCCAGTGAAAGCTAATGGAAACTTTCTCCAGAAAACCATAATTATATACAAAATTTTGCTTACAATTTTAACTAAATTCATAGGCATTCTAAGTAAGAAACTTTATAATATAGGCCTGAATATATGTCCAATTTATTAAAAAATGTTGACTGAAACCCAACTTTATAAAAAGGTGGGATCTCTAAAATCATATTAAGCATCTAGCACGTCCTAGGAACTGTTCTAAACATTTTACATTTATCAACTTACTTCACCCTCATGTCAATCTGTATGAGGTAGGCACTTCTATCCTCAATGTACAGATGATGAAACTGAGGCACAGAGTGGTAAATAACTGACCCAAGATCACACAGCTAGGAAATAACAGAATCTGGATTTAAACCCATGGGGCCTGACTCCAGAGCCCACGCTGTTAACCACTATACTGTTGCTGCCTATAATTCAGGTGTTTGTAGCTAAACAGGTTTGATAAACACTAGGATACCAGAAGTCATAATCAGCATGTTTGAGATTTGGAAAAGTTTAACCTCCCTTAAAACCACAGCTGATCATAACACGAAATGCTAATAAACAAAAAAAGAGAGCTATAAAGTTAGCAACTTCCTACAATTTGTCCCTTGGTAACACAGACAATTAGTATCACCTTCCTTCATTCTCATCAGAACCCCCACAAATTTTTAATTTTAAAAAATAAAAAGCATTACTTGTATTTTTATTCTCTTTACTATTTTTTTCTTTTGCAGAAGGTAAAGCAATAATTCTAAAATAAAGTCGATTCACAGTATTTGCATCAAGGCTATGATAATTTAGCAGACTGGTGAAATCAGCAGTTTTCCAAAAGTTCAAAATTCAGTAATTCAGGATTTATCTATGCATAAGGAATTTCCAGATGTTTTTGAATCACACTGAAAAATAAACTGTCCTGGATCCTGAAATTCTATTATCTATAAAGAATCTCTGCAGGTACCCTGAATTATTAGTTAATATGACAAAAAGGGAGAAAGGTAAATTTTGACAAAAGATGCATTTTAATCTGTTAAAACCAGATCCCATACTATTCAATTTAGCAAGTTTTCCTCAACATCAGAATTGTCTATGACAGTCTTAGGGCTGTGGAAACGGAAGCCTTACCTGGATTCGTGATGTTGAGTAGTTTGCAGGAGTAGGGATCTTCCCTGTCTTCCACAGGCACTTCACAGCCATGAGCACCTATTATGAACTTCACAAGCACACTGAGAGATGTGTTGGCATTAACATCAGTTATTGATCTTCACCTTGCACATGCACGTTTCCTCACGCCCATTTCAAAGCTTTTACTTTGAGACACAAGTATTTGTTAGAATTAATTCTCTAGCTTTACTCTTCCAGTCTAGCAAAAAGGGGAACAAGCAAACCAGAAATCGCTAACTACCAAGTGACTTATGTGTACTTACTCTACTGTAATACTATATTAAAGCAAGTATGATTATGACTGGCCTGGCTACCAGCAAATGCTCATACCACTTCAAAGAAAACTACAGTAAAGTGAACTTCTCATGCCCATACCTACAAACATATCTTTATCTACAATCTCCCTTACTTGCTTTCTCCTATTTCAGATGGTGCCCCTTCTGCTCAAGATTAGTTTTTCTACCCAAGAGGAGGTTCCCTCTTCTCTGATCACCCCTGTAAGCCATGGCTTTTTCTGTGCACATTATAAATATGAAGTCCTTATGCTAATTTCTAATTACCACCATCCTTCCTTGCCCCTACCATTTCCTTTACAATGAGGTCCTACAAAGGAATTAATAAAAACTGCAGCCTCTAGTTTCTCACTTCCTACTCATTTTAAATAAAACAGAAAGTTTAGCTTCAACACCCGCCACTTCCACAAAGAAATCTACCATCTATGTAACCAATGATCTGCTGCTGCTAACTTCAACAGACACTCTTCAACCATTACCTACTTGACTGACTCCTCTATGGCCCAACACTGCTGTTTTTCTTAAAATGCTCTCCTCTCTTCTTACGTGACCCTGCTCAGTCAGCCTCACTGGCTCTGCTTCCCAGCTTGTCCAGTGAAGGTGGTTATTACTCCAAGGCTTTGTCCTCTGATCTCTTCTCACTCTACTCAGTTGCTCCCCCTGGACAAGATTATTTATTTCCAAGGCTTCAACTAGCAGCTACATGTTAATGTTTCCTGAATTCGTATCTTTAGTTTGGACCCATCTTCTAAGTAAAAGATCCATAAATTCATTGGCCATTTACAACTAAATGACTCAAAGACAGCTGTGTACTGCTAGTACTGGCTCATGAGAGCCAACTGTTCCATTTTTAGAAATTTTGTGAGCTGGTTATTTAACACAGCCGTTATTAAAAATTAATTATGTAAACTTACAACTAAATTAGATAATATTAAAAACCAAGGAAATCAATGCTCAGAATTAATCATTTCTAATTATTTTGCTACACTTTACTATTATGTATACTCTTGAGGTTATCTGTATCTGTATGGTGGAAATATTATAACGGTGTGCTGCTGCGCATCTTTCCCCACTTGTGTGGTTCAGTGGTGTCACACTGATTACTTGCATTTGGCCATGGTGGATATATTACACCATGAAAATTGGCTAATGCTACAAATGAAGGCTTGATTTATTGTTTTGTTGATTGTCCAGATTTAAGAAAGTAATAGAGAAAATATTAATGTGCAGGTAGCCATTACATTGTGAATAACATAAAAAACTAAAGAAATATTCTTCCGGTGTTTGAAAACCATTATCTGATTCAGCAAAGAAGTCACGCCACTGACTAAGGGCAAATTTCTGACATATATCTTAGTTGTCACTGTAGTCTTACTTTTCAACTCAAAGAAAACATTTATGTCAAAACTACACTCTTTCATCAGTTGCAACCATAAGGTCGTTACAGATATAAAAGTCTGGCAAGCAGCACTGACTTTATGAGATTCAGCTGGCTACATGGAATTTATAATAAAGAGTACTGTATATTTTATTATTATTTGTCAATGGTGTTCTACACATCTTTTATAAATTTATAATAAACATACATATACATATAAACATACTTTCTCTCCAGGTAGCCAGTTGGTAAACATTCACCAGCACAGGTATCTCAAGCTCAACATATCCACCACTGAGCTTCTTTCCCATGAAACCCGCTCTTCTCATCTAGTATTTTTTTTTTGGTCTTGATTGATGATTCCACTGTGATCCAAGTCAGAAAGCTAGCAATCACCCTAGACTACTCTTCCTTTTTTCACATTCAATTACCTTATTCTTTTATAAAAACCCGTTGCCGTCGAGTTGATTCTGACTCATAGTGACCCTACAGAACACAGTAGAACTGCCCCAGAGAGTTTCCAAGGAGTGCCTGGTAGATTCGAACTGCCAGTCTTTTGGTTAGCAGTCATATAGCACTTAACCGCTATGCCACCAGGGTTTCCATTCTCTTATAAGGTCACCACGTTAGTTCAGTCCCTTAGCAGTCCTTAACCATCTGTCTCGCACAGTCTTATCCCCTCCCTCTCTCTCTCTACCCCGCTTCTTCCGTCCTCCCTCATCCCCTATATATCTCTGTCTCTCTGCCCCTCCATCCATCCTTGGGCTCTCTCTCACACTCATGCACACAACCCATAATCTCTGCACTCCACTTACATAGAACTTTTTGAAGTTTCCAAAAAAAAAATTCAAGTTAATTTATACCTATTTATCTCACAGCACACAAAATATTTTACATCTATTTCCTTTGACTAAACTTCAAGCTCCCTTAAGGACACAGAAAGTATTTTATATATGTTTGTATTCTACCACACATAATAAACCACCTGTATACAGAAGATACTTAATAACTATTTGTTAAACTGACAAATTATGGTTCTGTTATGAAGGATTATAATTAAGGTCCTCCAAATATACATTGAGTCTGGCTCCTTCATGTGAAACATAAGATTTTTACAAAGCCGTAACCACAAAACTGCAAACACTTTCTTTTACTAATGGCCAATTAAGGCAGAATACCTTTCATAATTAGCATCTGCAACAGAAGTATAAACATAAATGAATAAATTTGCTAATTAAATTATTAAAGGTATTTGCAAAATATGGTTTTTTAACCATCTTAAATATACTCTGTCACGTCTTACTAGATCTACAAAATTACTCTGCCCCAGGAAGAAGTTTTTGGCTAATGCCTATTTTTATACAAATATCCCATCAGTTTCGTAAAACAAACCATCAAGCTTACTAAAATTAAAGCAATATCTGATTGTTAATGTTATTCATTACATTTAGTTCTGAGTCATTCACTCAACACCTGCTGAGCGCTTTACTCTATGCCAGGCTGTTCTAGGTACTGGAAATATACCAACAAAAAAACCCTGAAGACCCTACTCTCAGGAAACTTACATTCTAGTGGAGGAAGGCAAACAATTTATAAACATACAAACCAATAAAATAAATGTCAGTTGGTGGCAAGCGTTACAAAGAAAAACAAAGCCAAATAAGAAAAGATACAGATGGAGTAGGGATGGAGTGCTATTTCATACGGGGCTGTCTGCTAAGGTGACACCTGAGCAGAGGCCTGAAGGAAGTGAGCTGTGAGAAGATCCAGTGGAAGAGTGGACCAGGCAGTGGAAACAGCAAGTGCAAAGGCCCCGAGGCAGGAGCACATTTAGTGTATTAAAGCGCAGTAATGTGACTAGTGTAGCTAGAACAGATCAGTGAGGGGAATTAGATGCAGATGAGGTCAAAGACTACAAAAAAGACTTGAGATTTCACTCTGAGTAATTCTCTGCTTATACCCTCAACTATAAAGACGGTATAAGCAGAAAACTGACATAATCTGATTAATTTTAAAAACATCACTCTGGCTGCTGGATGGAAAATAAAATGTAGAGGGACAAAGATGGAAGCAGGAAGTTCCGATAAGGCGGTTTCTGCACTAATCCACGTGACGGCAGTGGTAAAGGTTGTGAGAAGCTGAATTCCAAACATGATTTAAAGGTAGCACCAAGAAGATATGCCGATGGTTTGAATGTGGGATGTGAGAGAAAGAAGAGTAAGATGACAGCAAGGTTTTCGGTCTGAGCAACTGGTAGAGAGGAGTCATTTTCTGCGACGGGCAAACTACAGGAAATTCAGGTTTTGGAGGCTGGTAATGATTCTGAGGCCTTTTCTCATTTGCTGGATAATAAGTTTTATTATCATTACGATCATAAACTAAAGAAACTTATCTTGAAAAGGAATGAAAGCTGCTATGAGAAAGGCAGGAAACTTTACAACTGCAATCTGTTTGTGTATCTACTCAGTCATAAAAGTGCCAGTTAATGCAATCCAGAGAAGGCTTTCTCTGTTTATCACCTAAGTGTCTTCACATAACTAGAAGTCCAACCTTCTATGCTTTTCCTCACTAATCCATCACTACAGAATCTTTAGAGGCTAGTCTCACTGACAACAGACTAAGGCCTTGGGCTCCTAACCAATAACTGAGCCATCTAATGTCAACATGAGCTGTGCTACCAAAGCTCACCCTGAAAAGCTAGTCAGGAAAAAAAGCATGGTATATTATGCATAGTGAAGATCACACAACTAAAACACTACTACAGTAATAGAAAAAATTAAGTGCATCTGTGTGAAGTTAGTGAAAGGTATGTTTAGACACAAATCTCAGCAGAGAACTCTTTTGGAATAAAACCTTTTTAGAATTGCTATTCTTGATCAAGAGAAAAATAAAATAAGCAACAACAACAAAATTAGGTATCTATAAATACTAGGTATGCTAACCAGTGAATGTACTCTCCTCCAACTATCTTGGCTTAAAATCTTGGTCAAATTTACTTTTGGACTCAACTACAAGGAAGAAAAGCAAAAACTGAAATAGCCATTTCTCCCGGGAAAAGAGGTGACACATCTGAATTAATATCTCTGACTATCTAAGATAAGGCTTTTCAGAATTCTCATTTCAGGAAACTATGTAAGGTGCCAATTCAGAAAACCTACCGTTGACTTAATGCTGGATGCTGTATCAAATGCTTCAACCAGGTGTTTCGTATCACATTTCGAAGTTCATGGTTATTGCGAGCTGACAACACACCAACTACCACATCATAGTGATGAGGTTTCCACTGAGGAAATAAGGCCACCAATTGATCTAGAAAGAAGCAATAATAAATTAAAAATAAGTCATCTCTCAATTACCGTAAGTTCAATATATAACATGAAAAAAGTTTATTACAAAATATTACATGTTCATTTTTGAAGACAATACAGATAAACACAAAGAAAAAAAATTAAATTATCCACAAATGCATCACCCGGCAATAACCACTATTAACATTTTGGTATAGTCTTTTTTTCTTCCACAAATATGTAGAGTCTTCGAAACAAAAAAGATGTTTGTGATAAGATCCAGTTTGGAAATGCAATGTGGCATAAATGACAGAATGATACAGTGTAAGAGTCAAACCCCAGTTAGAATTCTGGTTCTGCCACATATTATATAGCTATAAAAGTTATTTAAATTCTTGAGCCTGTTTCCTTAACTGCAAAATAGGTATAATACCTCTCATAAAGCTGTAAAAATTAAATGAGATAACATGTATAAAGGTCCTGTTTGGATACCAAAAAAAAAAAAAAAAAAAAGTGTGTTGTTAGGTGAAGTCCTACATTAATGTTAGTTATTAAGTTTGGGGGATGAAGCCAGAGGACTTCTACGCTGGAAAGTTTATCAGTACCCTTTTTTATGCCAATAAATTCTATAGCCAGCAAACTTATTACCTACCTACATATTCTAAAGAGTGGCGACAGGAAACATTTCTAGTGAAAAAGATCAAATAACAAGTCTTATGAATGGCTCATTTTTTACTGTTATAAAGTCTAATGGGTAGGATTACATTTTAATTTTTAAAATCTGTCCTAAGAAAAAAGACAGAAGAGAAAGATATTTTGCCCTTGTTTCATCATCAGCAGTTTTAAAGCTAGAGAGCAACAAGCTTCTAAACAGCTTCGATGACAGATCCATTTCAACTCTTTCTCCAATGGTGGGAACTGATCCAAATGTGTCCAAAAATAAATTACTGGAGGCCAGAGATCTTTACTAAATTAAATACAATGTTTTTATATGCCACAGAATCTAGGTATTTGGTCTAAAAAAGAACAAAAACACGTTGATAGTTTTTCAAAGGACTAATTAAGAAGACAATCTGGGGACAGATTTTTCTAATAGGATAATTTTAAGGATATTACATTACAACAATTATAGAAATAGAGGAATTTTTGTGTAGATACCTTATTTTCCACAATAGATATGTTTCTAAAAAGGTACTTAAATTCTAAGCAGAATAATTGTTAATTTCACCCTACCACAAATCTTATACCAAAATAAATTGTTCTATAAAAGCAGAATTTATCTTTAATGTAAATCCAATATTTCATAGGTTAAATCTGCTTATTAATAAGCAACATTTACTGAACACTTTGTGCTAAGTACTACATATAGAGTATTATTTAATGCTTTATATACAGAGTATGATTTAACACTACCAGTTGGAATCAATTCAATGGCAACTAACAACAAAAATGAGGTATGTTCACCACGTATCGGTCAGTTTGTTGTACTGAGGTGGCTTGTTTGTTGCTATGATGCTAGAAGCTACGCTACTGGTACTTCAAAACACCAGCAGGGTCACCCATGGTGGAGAGGTTTCAGCAGAGCTTCCAGACTGACAGCTTAGAAAGAAAGGCCCAGCGATCTACTTCCAAAAATTAGCCAATGAAAACCCTATGGATCACAACAGAATATTATCTGATATACTGCTGGAAGATAAGCCCTCTAGGTTGGAAGTCAACAATGGATTGACACATGCCAGCGACCGTGAGGATGGCTCAGGACCAGATCAAACCAAACCCATTGCCTTTGAATGTATTCCGACTCATAGCAACCCTACAGGACAGAGTAGAACTACCCCATAGGGTTTCCAAGGAGTGGCTGGTGGATTCGAACTGCTGATCTTTTGGTTAGCAGCTGAGCCATTAACCACTGCACCACCAGGGCCCCAGCTGGGAAGCAGGCAGAGTTTAGTTCTGCTGTACATGGGGTCGTCACCACTCCGAGCTGACTCAACAGCAACTAACAACATGAGGTAGCTACTATTAGGTTCCTTATTTAACAAACGAGGAAAGAGGTACAGAGAATTCAGTAACTTGCCCTAAATCCAACAGCTACTAAATGGCCGGGTTTAATCCCATTCAATCTAACTCCATTTTTCATCTTTGTTCTATTCTGTATCTATACAGTTAAACATAGCTCACCTACATTCTGATCTTTTATCCACAATACCACTTGAAGTGGTGAACTGGTGATAAGCAGAATACTGAAAACGTTGGTCTGCACATTAATTTTTTTTAACTCATTGCCCAGGAACAATTTTTCTCAGATATAAAACTATACAATGCTGGAGAACTAACCCTAAATGAGTCTGAAGTTGGAGAATAATTCAATTCCTTAGCGTAAAACTGACAACGATGTGCCCATATCCTCCCCACTTTTTCATAGAGAAATAGTAATAGTAAGTACATTCTACAGACAGGAGGGAGGCAAATGTAGTAACCAGACAGTTCTGACAATGATTCCATAGTCAACATGCTGTATTACCTTGGTAAAAAGTTTTTTAAATCCCTTGTGTCTCAGTTTCCGGATCAGAGAAAACAAATTTAAAAAATGTCTTTAGATACTCTATTTCATCTGTTTGAAAATGCCTTCTCAAAACAGTAAAAGCTGTAGAAGGGCAAAAATCACATTTAATCTAAATGCCTCACTTATCTGACATCATCAGAACACAAAGTTGCTACACAAAAGTGAATTTTCAAATAATTGAAACATCCCTTTAAATGCCAAACATTTATTACCGTATTTTTGAAGGATAATCAAAGTAAATCTTTTAAAAATGGATTACATGGGGCATAATTTAACCTCTTCTGGATGACTCAAAATCACCATGAAAATTTTCTTAAATCTATTACTTTCTCACCATTAATTTTAGCTGTAGTTTCAGTTTAGACTCTCACTGTTCACTGGAGCTGTTACCACAGTATCCTAACTAGTTTCTCCCCTACTTCTCCATATTACTGCCAAACTAGATTTTTCTATAAATAAATCACAAAGGTAACCATGTGACACGTGAAAATCCCATGGATTATGGCTGTAAACTACTTTTCGATCTTATTCCACCTCCCCCTGCCTGTCAATCCTCCTTGCTTCTAATCCATGTCTAAGCTCCTTCTGTTCAACTGCTTTACAGGCATTTCTTTTTCTTGCAGAGGAAAAGTACATGGCAGATTCTGGTCTTTTAGAGAACTACTCTAGATGCTCTGAAGTCATTAGAAGTGGGGCTTCAGAAAAATAGGTTTCTTCTTTTGTTATCCCACATACCATCAATGTAAATCAGTCCAATGACTCCTGGGTCCTGTGTTACACAGTACAAAACCCAAAGTGGACTCAATAAACACCTGTTTAAGAATGACTGTCAAGTTCCTAGTTTCCCCTACTAGCATTTGGCCCTATACTCTCATCACCCCCTGCTATATACCGCAAGCATAGGGTAACTAATTTGACTGTGGTGGGAAACAGAAAAAATAAATAAATAAGAAACAAAAGCTAAGAAGTAAACATGAGACAAAAGACATAAAGACAGTTCACAAAAGGAGGAACACAATGGCCAATAAACCTATGAAGAAATGTTCACTGTCACTAGGAATTACGTTCAAATCACAGCAGTAAGATCCCAATTTTCTCCTATCAAAATGACAAATATTGTCTCAAATGATAACACCCAGTGTTGATGGGTATTTCAAGGAAATGTTAATAGTGATTTCAGTGAAATGGCCACTTTCTTTTCATACGCTGCTAGTAGGAGTGTAAATTGATATTCTGAGGGTAATCTGCAATATACATTACACACCTTACAGTGGGGTATAACCTTTGCCCAGCAATCCATGTCTAAGAACTTACTCTAAAGAAATAATCAGTGATGCACTCAAAAATCTCTATTCAGCAGTATCATTTATTAATAGTGAAAATCTGCAAACTACACAAATGCACAAAAAAAGGATTAGTTAAATAAATTACGGTATATCCATATGATGAGGGCACAGCGGTGGTTTGCTGGTAGAATTCTTGCCTTCCGTGCAAGGAGAGCTGGGTTCAATTTCTGGCCAAAGTACCTCATGTGCCGCCACCACCTGTCTGTCAGTGGAGGCTTTCTTGCTGCTACGATGCTGAAGAGATTTCAGCGGCACTTCGAGACTAAGATAAACTAGGAAGAAAGGCCTGGTGATCTACTTCCGAAAATCAGCCAATGAAAACTATGGATCACAATGGTCCGACCCACAACGGATCGTGGGGATGGTGCAGGACTGGGCAGCATTTTGTTCCACTGTCATGTGCTTTCGGAGCGTGGGCAGTTTTCTTTTGTTAATTTGGGTGCTGATTTAGTTGGGTATGCTCAGTTTGTGAAAATCCATCAAGCTGCACAATTAACATCTATTTTTCTGAATATATATTATACATCAATAAAATAAAACTAAATAATTTCCCAAAAGCATATATTATATATGCAGTCAAAAGAGTCTAGAAGAATAGGCCAGTTTTCTCTCTTGGATTTTTTAAAATAATGTAAAAATTTTCTACAAAGTACTTGTTTTACTTGTATAAGAAGAAAAATTAAATCGTAAGATCAACGTGGCATGTACACAGATAATCTGTAGGTGAAAAATTCATTCACACTTGTCCAATTTTATTCTCTTGGCTCACTCATTCAAATTACTGATCATCAGGTATGTACACTGTTCTAGATGGCACAGTCGACAAAATCTTTATTATGTCAGGGATCATTAACAACCCCAAGTAAACTCCCTGAGGGTAATAACCACTTCTTTTCTCTAATATATAACTTATCACAAGTCTGGCAACATGCTAGGCTCCGCACTGAGAATGGACATCCAAGAGTTTATTAAATGACTGAGGAAGGTTGACTTAAAAATCAATTGTTCAAAATAAGCTTAAGGATTATTAAAAATCAGACCAAAATTTCCACTCTCATACGCATGCCCTCAGATGACATCAATCATAAAGAAGTAGAAATCTTTATAATGAGGAAAACATACAAATCCATCAACAGACCTACTGATAAAGTCAGTCATCACACTATCACAGCGTGCCCTCACCAAGTTCAAAGACCTAAGGGGAAAGAAATAACTCAGTTGTCCTACGCCCCTCTTACTCTGTGTAACACAGATACACACCAAACACCACATTAACACAGACATCAGCCACTACCCTGCTACTAAAATTCAGAGAGTGCTTACTATGAATCAGGCTTGTTCTTGGTGTTTTACTAGGTGAATCTTCACAGTAACCCTATGAGATCATCATTTATAACCAAGGAAACTGAAGCACAGAGATAAGATTAGCATATAGAGATCCTTTTTTCTGAAGAACCAGCCCTAAGCAAAATTACAAAGCAAGCTAAATTTGTCTCTGGCTTCTTTCTACTTGCCCCACATCTGTTTCCATTCAGCAGCATTTGCTGAATGGGTATGCTCCTTTCAAGGTTTTCTCTAGGTTTCCCTCTTTCTAAATACTGCAGAAAAAGAAATTTTCTTTTATCACATCACTTTCTAAATTAAATATTTAGAAAATGTTAAATAATTCCTGCTACGGCGTTACCCAAAATCAATATTACAATCAAGATATCGTCTATATTCTCTAGTCCAATGGTTGTCTCCTCCGTTTTCCCCTCGCCACTACCAGGTTAGCTGGATTTCTCAAGAGAAAATATTTCACCTGCTTCTTCTTTACCAGGTGCTCTTTCTGACAGCACTTCAGCTGTTTAAGGTGAGCAGCTGTATTAGAAAAGTTGCCAAACCTGGCACTAACATGGCTCACTAACTCTATGCTGGTCCCTGCTTGAATGTCATCTCTTCAGAAAGGCCTTCCCTGACCTCTATTTGAAACAGCAGCCCATCATTCTCTATCCTTAGACACTACTTTATTTTTCTTCACCAAACTTGTCACTACTTTCTATAATTTTTAATATTTCTTTCCTTATGTTCTGTCTTCCCTTCTAAAATGTAAACTGAATGACAGCAGGGACTTTATCTTGATTACTGCTGTTATTCCACACCTACAACAGGAGCTGGCACAGAGCAGGCTCTCAAATATTGAATCAACTGCAAAAAAGAGGGCCTTTTTTAATATTCAGGGAAGGTAAATCTCCGTTTCAAAAAATACTGCTATGGCTTAATGAGAATGAAAACGGGCAAAGAAGCGGAAGAAAAAACAAATCTTAAAATGTTAGTTCAAGGGAAAAATACTTAAGTAAGTGGGGTTTCTCTCTCACTTTAGGCTTAAACTGTAAGGATGAAAATGCAAATCGTAAAAATGCCCAAATATTTTAGTTTAAATGTGATGACAGCACAGTGGGGAGAGGAGCTGGGAGAAATTTAGCAATCGAGATGCTTCTACTGTTCTTAGTTTTGAAAGTACCAAAAGTTTTGAAAAAGGAAAGTCAGGAGTCTGACAGATTTAATCTGGACTAAAATATCCTATTTATTATCTGACTAGATGCACAATATCCATCCAAAATCTAAGTCAATGTATATAACTAGTACTGATCTCTGCACCTATTACCCTGTCCCTTTCCAATGTCTGTTTCTTAGATCCTTAATCTAGTCTGGTCTAACTGGATAGCAGATAAGGGCATCCCCCAAACATTAAGGGGGCGGGGGGATGGTGGTGGAGGGTAGGAGAGTTAGCTTAAACTAAGAGTTGTCTGGCAGGCCTACTAAGCTTTAAGCCTGAAGGCAGGATTTTTATTTTGTTTGTTTCACTGAACCCCAAACGGCTGTTAAACTCATAAATATCCCAAGGATACTCTACAACTTCCACGAGAGTTCACTTATCATAAAACAAAGAAATCTATAAAACAAACCCAGCAGATGTTAATGTTACAAAGCATTATAATACACAGCACCCTTCTCAGCTCAGTTTACAAACACCTAAAAAACAAAACCCCCCAACTTGTTAACATGTTAAATAAACTGTAACACTGTACTTTCATTAAATCATTTAAATGATGTTTAATTCCATTCAGGTCTAACAGGAAAAGATTTGAAGAGATTATTGTCAAAATAAATACCCAAGATATAACAATGAGATTGTTTTGAGGACAGAATACTTTCTTCTTGTAAGTTAAGGCAAAGAGCCATATGCTGAATTACAAATATTCAACCGTTTTGAGAAGCGGTAAGAAAAAAATGTCCCAATGTAGTTAAAGATACGCTATAGGGTGGTGAAGCCCATTTATTAAAAAATCCAGTGGCTACCTACTTTGGACAAAGTATTCTATTAGGCGATGAAGCGAACATCAACAACGATTCTGGAGCAAATGGCTGTGATCGTTAAAGAACTTGATATTTTCATGTGGACTCATTAGCAGGTTACGCGAACCAAACCCCTCGGGAACAACTCTACTCACAGCCATGCCCTATCTCACGTCTAGATTTGTTTAATCGACTTACACCATACAAAATAGAGTCTTTTTTAGAGCAAAGTTATTCCTTAAAAGCAAAACCCAGCCACCTTTTAAAACACAAACATTATCCATGGCTCTAAGACCACAAAGTCCTAACCAAATAAGACCAACAACTTGGGGAGGAGGAACAAAACTTGCTAGCCAAAGGCAGGGCGTCAGCACGAGCTGACAAAGAACACCGCCCGGCTGAAGGGCACGCGAGGTTTTCTCCGGGAGCAGGCGGCAGGGTGCCGGACCACTGCGACCAGGCCTGGGACAAGCGAAGGACTTGCAGTTGCGGGCACTGGTCTCGTGAGCGTAAACGAAAGCGGGGTGGCGAGGAGCGGCGGCGAGACGAAGAGAAAAGCGTCCTCAAGTTTGCCCGATTTTAATGCTCCCAGTATGAAAAGAATCATCTGTTCGTCTGAGGACCGTTGTGTCTTGCCCTTTCCCTTCCTCCAGCAATTCCTGGCGGAGTTCCGCAGCAGGAGGCAAAGAGCGACGGCCGCGGGCACGGAGTCCGGCCGCCGCGCTGCCCACCCCCGGGCCTCCCTCCGCCCAGCCCAGGACCTCACCTGCCGGGCCCGCCCCCGGGGCGCGGGCGGGCGACGGGGAGCGCAGCCGCAACCAGAGGTGCAGCGCGGCCGCGAACACACACGGGCACAGGAGCACCAGCCAGTTTCGCATTGGCCGGCAGCGCCGGTTCCACGTCGCGCCCCCGCCGCGCTCCGGGCTCTCCCGCGTCCCGGCGGAGAGGGAGGAGACTTGGAAGAAGGAAGGGGGCGCCCAACGATGAGGGGCTGCGGCCGACGCCTGCGGACCACTCTGCGCACGCCCGCCCTGAAGACCGGCGCGATAAAGGTTCCTCGCGGATCCCAGCCCAGCGCCTCAGGTTCCTCAGACCGCGGGCGGCGGCGGCTCAGCTGGGCAAAGCCCCGCCTCCTCCGCCCGGCCTTCCCACCGGCCCCGCCCACTTCTCATTCTCTCACTTGGCCCGCCCCCTTCTCTCTTGTCTCCTTCCGCGCCGGCAGGCCGGAAGCTGAAGTCCCGCTCTGGGCACAGACAAGGGGCGCGACAGTGATCCTGAAGGCTGAAAACCACATTTCCCATAAACCTACACCACTACCTTGCGTCACTCGACAATCACAGAGGCGAAGCGCGAAGTCCCCTACAGAGCATGCGTGGTATTTCGTTTTGACTGCTGCCACCCATAGCAAGTTAATGGATAACATTGCAAAGAATGGGAATTCCAGAACACTTAATTGTGCTCACGGGGAACCTGTACTTACACCAAGAGGCAGTTGTTTGAACAGAACAAGGGGATACTGCATGGTTTAAAATCAGGAAAGGTATGCATCAGGGTTGTATCCTTTCACCATACTTATTCAATCTATTTGCTGAGCAAATAATCCGAGAAGCTGGACTACATGAAGAGTGGCATCAGGATTGGACGGAGAGTGATTAACAATCTGCCATATGCAGATGACACAACCTTGCTTGCTGAAAGTGAAGAGGACTTGAAGCACTTACTGATGAAGCTTAAAGACTACAGCCTTCAGTATGGATTACAGTTTAACATAAAGAAAACAAAAATCCTCACAACTGGACCAATAAGCAACGTCATGATAAACCAAGAAAAGATTGAAGTCAGGAATTTCATTTTACTTGGATCCACAATCAACGCCCATGGAAGCAGCAGTCACAAAATCAAACGACGTGTAGCATTGGGCAAATCTGCTGCAAAATACCTCCTTAAAGTGTTGAAAAGCAAAGATGTCACCTTGAGGACTAAGGTGATCCTGACCCAAGCCATGGTATTTTCAGTCGCCTCATATGCATGTGGAAGCTGGACAATGAAGAAGGAAGACCGAAGAATTGATGCCTTTGAATTATGGTGTTGGTGAAGAATAATGAATATACCATGGACTGCCAAGAACGAACAAATCTGTCTTGGAAGAAGTACAACCCGAATGCTCCTTAGAAGCAACGATGGTGAGACTACGTTTCACATACTTGGGACATATCATCAGGAGGGACCAGTACCTGGAGAAGGACATCATGCTTGGTAAAGTAGAAAGTCAGTGAAAAAGAGAAAGGCCCTCAACGAGATGGATTGACACAGTGGCTGCAACAATAGGCTCAAGCATCACAACAATCACGAGGATGGTGCAGGACAGGGCAGTGTTTCAACAGCACCTAACAACAACTGCCACCCAAGAGCCTAGGGGAAATAGTGCTGTGTGTATAATAGAATATACAGTAATTTTTAAAACCCAGAGATGATGTAAACGGTCTGTGCAGTCAAGTGCTCATAGTCTAAGATGGGAACAAGTTAAAAAAGGGAGAATTAGACTTAGGGCGAGGCAAACCGGGATGATTGGTCACCCTGACTGTAATTCAATGTGGTAAACGCTGTGATGAAGGTACACACAGCATGTTACAGCAGAAAAAAGCAGGAGGTATTTAATCCAGCCCAAGGCACCTCAGAGGAAGCTATCCCTTAAAAATACAAGGCTGGGTCTTAAAGAGGCCAGTTAACAAGGCCAGAAAGAGGGAGGCGCATTTAAGAACACCCTATGCAAAAACAACGACGCTGCCCACCAAAACAAATACACGCAACACCAATATCGTGATGACATGGCAGATTAGGGAAATACAAGCAATTTGGTTAAGACCCGAGGGTAAATTACCCATTGCCATGGAGTCATTCTGACTCATATGAGTCAGAACTCATAGTAGAGTAGAACTGCCCAATCGGTTTCCAAGGAGCAGCTGGTGGATTTGAACTGCCGACCTTTTGGTTAGCAGCTGAGCTCTTAACCACTGTGCCACCAAGGCTCCAAGGGTAGTTTAGTAATAGGAACTAGTAAGAAGGCAGGGGCCAGATCACAATCATATGCTTTGCTGAGGAATTTGGATTTTATCCTGAGGGCTCTGGGGAAGAATTTATTTTTTCTGATTACAAAAGTAACATATGAAAGAAAATTTGGAAGCTATCGAAGGATATAAAGAAGAAACTGTAAATCACACCAAATACAAATCGTATATTATTTTTCCTTGTTTCTTTTATCATTTAAAAAAATACTGCAATTATATTATAAATACAAATTTTTATCCATTTATTCTTCACCTGAGATATAACATAAGCATTTTCACATTTAATTAGTAGTCTTAGAAAATACAGCTGTTTATCATTGCATCAATTTGTCCCTACTGTAATTTCTTTCACAGTCTGTTATTGAACATATACATTGTTTCCATTTTACACTATAATAAGTAATATTGGCACTTCTGTGCATGAAATTTTATCTACATTTTAGATGATTCCCCTTTTTAAGACTATTATTATTTTAAATTTTATTGTGCTTTGGGTGAAAGTTTACAGCAAAAATTAGTTTCTCATTCAAAAATTTATACACGAATTGTTTTGTGACATTGGTTGCAATCCTCTCAATGTGTCAGCACTCTCCCCCTTTCTCTTTACACCCTGGGTTCCCCATGTCCTTCCTCCAGTTTTCCTTCTATTCTGTCCTATAGGGTCGCTGTGAGTCGGAATCAACTTGACGGCAACCGGTTTCATGTTGGTTTTTATCTGCCTTCTCATCTTTGCTTTTGGCAGGTGTTGCCCATTTGGTCTCATATACTTGATTGAACTAAGAAGCATCTTCTTCACATGTTATTATTTATTTTCTAGGCCTGTCTAATCTTTGGCTGAAAGGTGGACTTCAGGAGTGGCTTCAGTTCTGAGTCAGCAGGGTGTCTGGGGGCTGTAGTCTAGGGGCTTCCTCAGTCTCTGTCAGACCAGTAAACCTGATGTTTTTTTAAAATTGTGCTTTAAATGAAAGTTTACAGTTCAAGTTAGTTTCTCATGCAAAAACTTATACACACGTTGCTATGTGACCCTAGTTGCTCTCCCCATACTGTGACAGCACACTCCTCCTTTCCACCCTGGATTTCCCATGTCCATTCAACCAGCTCCTGTCCCTTTCTGCCTTCTCATCTCATCTCCAGACAGGAGCTGCCCATTTAGACTCATGTATTTATTTGAGCTAAGAAGCACAGTCTTCACGAGTATCATTTTATGTCTTATAGTCCAGTCTAATCTTTGAAGAGTTGGCTTTGAGAATGGTTTTAGTTTTGGGTTAACAGAGAGTCCAGGGGCCATGTCTTCCAGGGTCCCTCCAGTCTCAGACCATTAAGTCTGGTCTTTTTACTAGAATTCGAGTTTTGCACCGCACCTTTCTCCTGCTCCGTCAGGGACTCTCTGTTGTGTTCCCTGTCAGGGCAGTCATCGGTGGTAGCCGGGCACCATCTAGTTCTTCTGGTCTCAGGCTGATGAAATCTCTGGTTTATGTGGCCCTTTCTGTCTCTTGGGCTAGTGTTTTACTTGTGTCTTTCGTGTTCTTCATTCTCCTTTACGCCAGGTGGGTTGGGACCAATTGATGCATCTTAGATGGCCACTTGCTAGCTTTTAAGACCCCAGATGCCACTCACCAAAGTGGGATGCAGAACATTTTCTTAATAAACTTTATGCCAGTTGACCTAGATGTCCCCTGAAACCATGATCCCCAGACCCCACCCCTGCTACTCTGTCCCTCGAAGTGTTTGTTTATATTCAGGAAATTATATTCTTAGCTTTTGGTTTAGTCCAGTTGTGCTGACTTCCCCTGTGGTGTGTGTTGTCCTTCCCTTCACTTAAGATAATTCTTGTCTAGTATCTAGTTAGTGAATAACCATCACCTTCCCTCCCCACCCTCATAACCATCAAAGAATGTTTTCTTCTGTGTTTAAACCTCTTCTTGAGTTCTTATAATAGTAGTCTTATACAATATTTGTCCTTTTGCAACTGACTGATTTCACTTGCATAATGCCTTCCAGATTCATCCATGTTATGAGATGTTTCATGGATTCACCATTATTCTTTATCGTGCGATAGTGCATTGTGTGAATATACCATAATTTGTTTATCCATTCGTCCATTGATGGGCACCTGTTTTCACTTTTTTGCTATTGTGAACAGTGCTGCAATGAACATGGGTGTGCATATATCTATTCATGTGACAGCTCGTATTTCTCTAGGATATATTCCAAGGAGTGGGATTGCTGTATCGTATAGTACTCCTATTTCAAGCTTTTTTAAGGAAGCGCCAAATCAATTTCCAAAGTGGTTGTACCATTTTACATTCCCATCAACAGTGTATAAGTGTTCCCAGTCTCTCCACAACCTCTCCAACATTTATTATTTTGTGTTTTTTGGATTAATGCTAGCTAGCCCTGTTGGGGTGAGATGGTATCTCACTGTAGTTTTGATTTGCATTTCTCTAATGGCTAATGATCATGAGCATTTCCTCATTTGTCTGTTAGTCACCTGAATGTCTTCTTTGGTGGAGTGCCTGTTCATATCCTTTGCCCATTTTTTAATTGGGTTATTTATCTTTTTGTTGTTGAGGTTTTGAAGTATCTTGTAGATTTTAGAGATTAGATGCTGATTGGATTTGTCATAGCCAAATTTTTTTTCCCAGTCTGTAAATTGTCTTTTTACTCTTTTGGTGAAGTCTTTTGATGAGCATAAGCGTTTGATTTTTAGGAGCTCCCAGTTATCTAGTTTTTCTTCTGGTGTCTGTGCATTGTTAATAAAGTTTTATATTCTGTTTATGCCATGTATTAGGGCTCCTAGCATTGTTCCTATTTTTTCTTCCATGATCTTTATTGTTTTAGATTTTATATTTAAGTCTTTGACCCA